ATTTTTAAGGAACTTGATTACGTATTGCGCCATGGGCCCTACAAAGATGTCCTCCAAATGGGGTCAACGTACCCCGACGTTGAGTTGGAATGTGTAAAATCGCAGGAGAAGCACTCACTCTCAAGACTGCATCTCCACAAGGAACGCCCCCTACTCATTATTACGTCATCAGCATCCTGACCCCCGTTTAAGGTAGGTACTGCCTATTAGATAACAACTTAATCATGGGCGACGGAAGCATTTAGGTATTGGTCAAGTAGAGGGGTCAAAACCAACCATGCCACAGCCACGGCGTCTTATGCCCAGGCTCTGGAGGAAAAACAAAAATTTGTTATGTTGTAGAACTGATTTTTCTAAGACAGAAAAAAAGGTTGTTTGACGAAAAACTGTGGAATGGTTCATGACATACAGATTTTTGAATATATAAAAACTGAGGATAAAAGTTGGAAAAGGGTGGTTACTCTCCCATTTCTCCCAGTTTTTAAATATTCAAAAATCTTTATCTCATTAACCTCTGCCCAGTTCTTCGTCAAGTTAAAAAAAAATGTATTTACTCCGGATCATGGCTTAATTGTATGCCGTTACGTATAAAAACGTTATAATAACGTTACATTTTGGTGTTAATCACGTTATTTTGTAGAACCACAAGTACGTAATTTCACAGCGTCATAACGTTTGAACTTCCCTACAACGTTGTGTGAACGTTGTTTGAGACAGACTACAAACATCAACGTTCGCGAACGTTTTGTGTTTGGTGGGGATTGTTTACATTCTTCCACATTTAGGCCAGGGTGATGGGAAAATTGAAAAATAACAAATGACTTGCTATGTAATGGCATAATCGATTTGAAAACATTTAACCGACTCAACAAATTGGTTAATAGTATTAGAATTATGTACACTTTCAGCATGTCAACATGTGTTTACCAGTCAACATTATATTCGATATTGATTTTGAACGACTTGTTTCAATACAATAAATCAAACATCATTTGAATTCAGTGAGAAGAAATGAAAAAATGCAAGATTTTCTCAGATCTCACACGTACGACTGAAAACATAAATGCTTTGGAAATAGTGATGCCCAGTTTATTAACTCTGCCGAATACCGACAAACACGGATGATGGAACACCATGCAAACAGTTATTTTATAAATTCGTCGTCACTTTCTACAGATAAATATTTTCAACCGCCATCCTGTTATTTTATGTGTGCACTTTTCTTTTCTTTACTTTACTTCAGGTTCTATCTGTCCACTGTTGAATATACCCCTCCTCTAATATCCTCCACCATTTCTGTCTGTTGTTTCTCCAAACCACCAGTATTTATTGTAGGCCTACATCCTCAGGTCGTCTGTTTCTGTCGTTCTTCCTCGTTTTCCTTTACCTTCTCGGGGTATCCATTCAGTTAATCTCTTTGTCCATCTGTTGTCATTATCTCTAACCACATGCCCTGTTCTTTATAATTCAGCCTTATTAATTTCTAAATTCGTTTATTCAATATTTTAGGTTGTATATTTTCGCACCCTACCCCACTTTTTACACTAGTTTCCTAAACTACTCTCTGATATATGTATATATAAAAATAGGGAAACCTCAAAAATTCAAAATCTTGAATAGCCGATCTAAAAGGATTTGAAAATTGAATAACTTTCAAAATAAAAAAATAAAAAAATTGTTTTCGCTGTTTTACAGACGTTTTACTCTATCAGTCCTTAAAATTGATTAATAGCCAATTTATGAGTATATATAAAAAATATAGAAAAGGTATGATAATATTGTATATTAATTATAGGCAATTGGATTTTAATTTTTTAGAGACCTATTATCTTTAATATGCATATTTTCCACTTTTCTGTATGAATGCACTTTGACTAGCTTTTCGCCATTTCTTTATTAACAATGTCGTCATTATTCTTAACACAGGCCATTGTAATGGGCGGTGGACTCTACAATCTGTATGCCGACTTTAAAGATACGGTGGATTTTTTATGTATATATCAGACTGAAGCTCATCCTAAAGAGATGTGGAATCTAGGTTCCTTTCTAAGCAGTGTTTCTCAACACACTACAATGGACGACAGAAAAAAGGCAGCATTGTAAGTTGGACACATTGTCTGCAGTGGTTTAATAGGGAGCTTTCGATTGGACGACGACGGTAGGACGTAGAAAGTAATGACGTCACTAAAAGTCATCTGCGCATGCGAGAACGTTAAGTAGTTAAGAACTATTTAATTTTTCCCTCCTTTCAATTGAAAGTTGGTTGTACTAGCCTTGCGTGGGGTCTACGGTCGTGTTGCAAACATATGTCACTGAGAGTTGATCAGTGATGTAGCCAATGCCTACCGTATCCTACATTTTCTAAGTAGATAAACCAAATTGGTTACAATAGCATTTAAAGGATTGAGTTTCGGATCAGGTACGATTCATGGACCCCTAAGTAGCTTAGGCCGAATATCTTCTGCCGTATTACGGACCTATAACGGGATATTCCATTTTGTACACAGGTTAAGATTGACCAACTTTTTATTGTGTCTTAAGCTTTGTCCAGATTATCAAAATTTGTTTTGAAAAAAAAAAAAAAATAAAAAAATAAAACACGTTGTATGCCTATATATTGTTATGATGTGCCTATATATGGTCATGTTGTGATATCATCATGACTATATTTAGGCATATCGCATCTTTCTTTGTATGTTTCTTCCTTTCACAATGAACCTCACCGGAGACTCGATAAAACTTTGCAACTGACCAATCAGCACATAGTGTTGTTTAGTAGGCGGGATCGGAAATACGCGCATGTCTCAAATCAAATCATCTTTATTGCAACTTCTGCATTTGGATTTACTTTTTAATATACAAAATACAAATACAAAGCAGAAATATGCAAACATCAAGAATCAATCACAAAATACCAAGAATTTTATAAAAGAAAAAGTACAAGGATAAAAAAGACAATTAGGCTATAATGATTTATTTAATAAATTTAATAATATTGCAGAATTATAATGAAACATCAAACGGTTCACCAATACGTGATTAACATAATTTATTTTAAGATAATCATTATTTAATTTATTGCAAAATTATGATGAAAACATCAATTTTTTTTATTAAAAATATAAAATACATACAAAAGAAATAGAAAAATATCAAGAATCAGTCACAAAAACACTATACATTATGTTTAAAAACACAATACATTATGTTTATGACAACACATCAGATGTCCCTCTTTTTGTGGGATCTTCAACAATCCAAGAAAAGGGGAGGGGAGGGGCTTTAGTGGATAATGCTGTCAACCAATCTAACATTGCGTTAAATATAGACAAACTATATTCGATTACTATTCGTATCTTAATCAGTTTTCAATTATTGCAAGCAATTTATTATTAGCATAAATTGTAATTTGTGTTTCCTTCAAATTTATGTGCTTCGACCTCGTTCATTCAAGTTTGAAAAGCACCTATAATTGACTTATTTTCTTTATTTTAGGAACTTGATCAAGATGGATGAAGAACATTACTCCATATTTACATGTGACCCGTTCTCTGATACAAAAATCCGCTTGGTTTGCGATAACATGGACAACACCTTCAGACTATCGTACAACGCCCATCCGGATAGAGTCTTTCTAATACAAGGCGAAAAGCTAACCTACATCGGACGTACTATTTTCACGCAAGTGTCTGAACCGATGAAGTTGATGACAGATGAAGCCCGGCAATTACTTAAAGAGATTGTCGGATAAACAGAATTAGTAAATGAAATCCTCAATAATATAGAAATGTTACAAAATCCGTGACATTTCGTGTATTTTTTGTGTGAAAAACGAAAATTTTTAACTAGACATTGCATTATCATTTATCTAAAAACAAATCAGGGAGCTTTTTTAAGGGTGAAAGTTGTAAATTGATTAAAATCACCTCAAACGATGTCTTTCAATTTTAAAATTGTTTTTTTTTTACGCCTGAAAATAACCTATGATGTGTTTTGGACGATCAATAATTTCTTTTGTTTTCTTTCTTCTTTTTTTCGTTTTTTTTTTTTCAACTTTTCAAAAGGTGGTGAAGGAGGTGGGGCCGGCTATCCGCCCCTGAATCCTAATAGCTTTCACTATTGAAAATTATAAAAAGATATCTTTTCGTGTCGCATTCGAAGTTTATACATTATTTGATTATTTTAAAGAGATGTTTTAATGTTTTATTGAATATGTTTCTGATCGAAAAAGAGAAAGTTAAGTAGTGTACACTATATCCGAATTTCATTATGAAAATTGAAACTATAGGGGGCGACAGTCATTTTCATAAAATGAACAACAGATAACAGATATTGAGTAATAATAATAATAATAATAATAATAAGATTTATTAAGCGCACATCTCCACTAAAGTGCTCAAGGCGCTTACAAAACTTTCAATTCATTTTATATTTATTCACTCACAGGTTGGCATGAGGAACACTTGAAGCTAAAGCTTAGTTAATGTGTGCCCATTATAGTCACGATGTGCTTATATGGTCATGATGTGATGTCATCATGACCATATTTAGTCATGTCACATGTTTTTGTCAAATAAAATTTGATAGTCTGGACGGGGCTTAACCTTGTATAAAAAATGTGTTCCTCCCGCAAAAACTTAGCAAACATAAAACGTTCTCATAACGTTCGCGGACGTTGTGGCTAGGTATGTCACAGCATAACGTTCACACAACGTTGTAAGAACGTTCAAACGTTGTGACGTGAAATTAGGTTATAAGTATGTACACAGTATATGGTTCTACAAAATAACACCAAACTGTATAACGTTCTTATATCGTAATATTGTTAGCGTTTCTCATTATTGAAGAAACAACAGATACCTCCGCCAAATCTCTCACTTGTTAAGTAACATTTTTTTTATAATGTACCACTCAAAAAATTGTCTATATCATCCCGTTCAGTTATTTTCAGTTAAATTATGGCAATGTATGTGCTTACATTATGAAGTCTAAAAACTCATTTAAATCACTACATACGTTTCTCATTATTGGAGAAACAACATATAGGCCTACTTCAGTCAAATCTCTTACTTGTTAAGTTAACAGTTTTTTTTTTTGTTTTTTTTTGTACTAAATAAATTGGCTATACTCCCGTTTAGTTATTTTCAGTTAAGTTATAGCAAAGTATGTGCTTACATTATGAAGTCTAAAATTAGTGTGTTGGGCATGTTAGGTAGCTCTTATTATGTATCTATACTAGGCTTAAGTTTCGTATGAACGCCTTCGTCAATGTATAGTTCCTACCACTGGGAATTTGTTTTTCTTTTTTTTTTCTCAGGTTTTGCTTTTTTACATAATTATTTGCTCGTATTTACTTTACAGGAACAAGTATTCCTGGTGATGACAAAATTAATGTCGAAATATTGAATCCCAACACGATGGCGTGCATTTCAATACATGGAGTATGTATTAAAATTTCTTATTCTACTATATTCTACCACTTTAAGGGGGTGAATGGGTTCGGTTGATATTTACTGAGTTATAGGTCAAGCTAGTAATAGTATATACTATACTTTTAAATTCGTGGCCGTTTATATGTTTTGAATTAAACAATAACGTTTAAGACCACAATGACAACGATTTGGTAAATGTAACTTTTGCAGCCTAATCGTTTGATGAATTGTTTTAATACGCTACTGTTTCATTTTGAAAATGAATAAATGTTCTACTTCACAAATGTATATAATGTGCAATTTTTGTAGTCGTCTTTACAAAAGTTTGGTTTACGAACGAAGTACACAATTACTCTACTTGTTTTCAGGATATTGAGTATTATATATACATAGCCTACATAATATGTATGTATACATAATATGCATTATATATATATATATATATATATATATATATTATATATATATAATATATAATAAAAAATTGTTTTATGTTTCTTTGAATAATCTAAACACAGGTAAATTTGTTTGAAAGATTTCGTCACCTGTTGGCTTCACTACCAAAGAGTGGTCTGGATGCTTGCACGGAATATTTTACAAAGACCGCCCTCTTGGGAGATAATGCAGCCCAAGCAGATGATCAGGTAAAGGCCCTTGACAAGGTTATTTGTAATTGTGAATGATGCAATCTGCTTTGCAATCTTTAAAAAAAAATTGTTTATGATATAATGCATGGAAAGGTTCATAAGTAATATTGAGAACCTAAGACTGATAGTACGAACATCGCTGCATTTGGAAGCCTTTGATACTTTTGGTATTGTGATGAAGTTGGATTGGATTGGATTTGATTTATTCGGTGTAAACACCAAGGATAGCCCACGAAAGTCCAGAAAAAGACTTATTTCCAGTGGGGTCCTTCTGGTGGTGATTGGGCAGTACACCGGGAGACAATCCCCTACTCTTTTCCGAAGAGTGTACTGCGTTCTTTAACGTGCACATGGGCCATAATGCACACGGGACCAACGGCTTAAACGTCTCATCAGAAAGACGGTGCGCTATTGTAACTTGTATTTCAGCCCTCTAGCTGAAACACAAGGAGAGAACCGGGGACCTAGAGATCTCCACGGTTCAGCGCACACACAGCGGCTACCACCAGATTAGCCGACTGAGCTAGTTGTTGCCGATAAATTCATCAGGTAAGGTACCTGTACTGTAGATTATGTTGATTAGTCTGGTCAACTGGTGTATGCCATTTGTCCAAAGCTCTTTCAAGAATTCAGTTGGTAAGTTGTCTTGGCCTGGTGCTTTGTTGTTTGGAAGTTGTTTAATGGCACTTTTCAATTTCAATTTGATTATTTCTTGGTGTTGTCTCTGTTATGAAGATCTCCCTCAGTTGTGGCGCTAGAGATATAGGCCCCCTGTCGAGGAAGACGAATAAATTTTGTCTGGGAATAAACAAATAAAAGAAAATTATTTACATGTCATTTTCGTTTAGCCACCATTGTCATTGGACTATTTGTGTTAACTCATCAGAATAATAATAATAATAATAATAATAATAATAATAATAATAATAATAATAATAATAATAATAATAATAATAATTTGCGATCTGTTATGACAAATTCTTGTTTGGATAGCCTTATGATTTCTTGGAATACATCGTGATAGGGGAAGCAACCTCGACCTTGACAGCGTGGTTGACATATTTCATGCAAAATTTCCAAAATATAGAATCATCACTTTGAAGAATGAGGATTGGAAAATAAATTAGATGGTTACATTGCATACACGTTGTTTCTTGTTTAATTCAAAATGTTTTGGTTTTTTGGAAGCTGATTTCTACATTAGAAAACATACATGAAGTCATATTATAGTAGCTCGATACCTATTAAATAAGTAATATCACGATGTTATAAACTATTCAGGCATAGCCCTACAACGAAAATTCCTCATTTGTGATTTGTGTAAAAAAATCTCCGGTGGGATTTGAACCTGTGAGCTTTCGCTATCAGGACGAGCAGCATACCACTAGACAAAGAAGACCAAAAAAAAATCCAGCCTTATTTGCTTACAGAACAATATTGTTCGTTGTAGTAAAAAATAGAAAAAGGGGAAAACAAAGTAATATGCCGACCTTGATTTTTTAAATTTGAGTGGGTCGGGCGGGCGTGGCCAACACAATTACTTTTTTTTATTTGGTCTAATGTTGTATGGGTATACAGACTATTTAAATGAAAACTAATAGCGCCCTAACTAATTTGGAAACCGATAATTCTAGTCGCAGCTGAATTTGGCCTATATAAAATCATATGTTTATATTATATACACTACTGTATACATATATAATTTATAAGTTATATATATATATATATATATATATATATAACTTAAAAAATGCATTACCACACCTATTATGAAACAAATTATGGAGAGTACACAAGTGGCATTGGGCGGGGATTATGTTCTCGACGAGGACATAAGTGGGAGGGAATGGACAGGAGAGACCAGAAGAGGGGTAGGGTCTGGGGTGAAATTTCGAAAGGTCTGACTCTTTAGGGATTTGAATAGATAATTTAATCGATTTTTAAATCTCACAATTTGTACAATTATTGTATTTTCTTTTCGACTTGAGGGTGAAGGGGAAGGGGATGGGATGGGTGAGAAGGGAATCAGGCCATCTGGCCTCTCATTGGCGCCACCACTGCATTGTCATCAATATTCAATTTATTGCTATTATTTTATTCACCTACATTCCTATAAACCCCGAAAGAAATGGCGATTTATATCTTTTAAGTGAAAAAAAGAATAATTTATAAGAAAATTTGTTATTTATTATGGTCTACAACATTAATTTATTGAATCACAATCAGCGCATGTGAAAGAGCTCCGGATGTTTTATTTCGGAACAAGCATAACAATTATGATGAAGTCAACGCGTGGGACAGTTATCTTAATGAGGTATCCGGATTAAAGAAATCCTGCATTTTCTTGAGAAGCATGCCATTACTCATCGTAGCTGCAAGTGAAATTGCATCCGAGCTAAGTTGATCACGTGACTTATTAGCAAGACTGGAAACCTAATGAGAACTCAATTGTAATAATTATTCGTCGTAGCTGTCCAATCGTCAATTTCAGATATCACGTGATCAGGCAAATAAATTACGGTGTGTTTCGCCTGGATTTACTAATCGCTGAAAATCTCTCTTCGCCGTCATCACGAACAACGAGATCGCAAAGCCTCACCACTCCCTTATACTACACTTCCAGACCATCTATACAAACTTGTTAACATGGTAAGTGCCTGAGATATACCACGAGATTTTGTATTACCATTGTAGATCTCATATTTTAGCACTGCATTAAATACTAAGAAAATGTTCTAAAATCATATTGAATATAAAATGTATGTTGTTCTCTAATACGAATAATATGTTTATATAATTAACTGATGTGATTTCCTTTCATTACGACGTCCATCCACTCGCCAATAATGTACCCTAATTGAACTGGACCTATGTTCTAAGTACATTATAAAACCTAGTGAGTGGAGTAATTTTCAGTTGTGAGAAAATATCGTTGCGTTTTATTGGATTTAAAACCGTGACCTGCAAAGTAACCAATTCTACATATCGTAACTATATATA